ATGCAGGAAGTCAGTGCGCCCCTTCCCTTTAGCGGATCTTTCCAGGATCTCGAGGAAGATGCCTTCCAGCGAAGAGTCCACACCGGTAAGAGACAAACTATCTGCAATGCTTATAGAAAACGATTCGGTCAGAGCTCGGTCCTCATTAAACACGAAAGCGTTCACGTGGGAGAAAAGTCGTTTAAGTGCTCGGACTGCGGGAAAAGATTCGGTCAGAAATTGCAGCTGATTGGGCACCGCAAAAGATGCGAAAGTGAGAGGCCCCACAAATGCACAACCTGTGGGAAAAGGTTTTCTCGCAGCTCATACCTTAACACCCATCAGAGAATCCACACTGGGGAGAGGCCGTACGAGTGCCTGCGCTGCGGGAAAAGCTTCAGCCAGAAAGCTAACCTTAATACACACCGTAGAATCCACACAGGCGAAAAGCCGCACGAATGCTCGGTTTGCGGGAAAAGGTTCTCTCGCAATACGTGCCTTAATAGACACCAGAGAATCCACACAGCACGCTAGCACACATGGATGCCCGGACTTGTGGGGGAGGGGTGAGAGTTATAGGGGAAGATTGGTGTTGCTTACGGGGAATTGGCTTGGGATAAGTTTCGGTCAGAAACAGTGTGATTTTAGACATTGTACAATGCAGGAACAACATCCTGTCTCCTATATTCCAACAATAATTGCTAACATAATAAAGAATGTTCTTCATTTCCTCCACGGCTATTTTGCTTTTTTAAGAACCTTCGGGGGGAGGGAATGGGGTGATGGTGCTTTCAAGGATAACCTGGTCCGATATTTTCTGAAAGCCCAGATTCACTAGAAGCAAAACGTGCATTGAGAAAAGCTTAAATTCATAACCTCTGCATACAGATGTACATTAAAAAGAGGCTCATGGCATCATGGATTTATACACATTTATCGGCAATATCTATATAGCGCCTCATATTCTGCCTTTCCAGAGTAGTTCACAATGCTAAAACAAAAATCAAAAACATCAACACTGAAATCAGCAGCAGATAAATCCAGAGTCCTCAGCACCATTAAATGTCAAAAACCTAGCAGGAAAGAACAGTTTTTACCTATCCCCAAAGAGAAGCCAATGAAAGAGGCAGGCAGACTTCTTCAGGAAGAGAATTCTAGAAGAGTGCTTCCCAACCTGGGGGCAGTTGATTCTAGGGGGCTCTTTTGGAGTTCTTGTAAGGGGGTTGGGAATCCATATGTGCCCTAAGCATAGTCATTTTAATATTTTTCTGATTCTGTATTTTCTCAATCAACAGATACTAATAGTATAACTACTGTCATGGGGGGTGGTCCATGACATTTTTTGATGTTGCAAAGCAGTCCCCATTCTCAAAAATGTTGGGAGCCAATGTTCTATAGCACCTGTCACCAAAAAGGTGGATCCTGTTGGTGAACGTTTACTCTGTGTTCATGCGAGAAAGTACCTGAGTGAGTCCTCATTTGGGTTGCCAGGCACTTGTAAGGGGGTTGGGAATCCATATGTGCACTAAGCATAGTCATTTTAATCTTTTTCTGATTCTATATTTTCTCAGTCAACAGATACTAATAGTACAACTACTGTCATGTGGGGTGGTCCGTGACATTTTTTGATGTTACAAAGCAGTCCCCATACTCAAAAATGTTGGGAGCCAATGTTCTATAGCACCTGTCACCAAAAAGGTGGATCCTGTTGGTGAACGTTTACTCTGTGTTCATGCGAGAAAGTACCTGAGTGAGTCCTCATTTGGGTTGCCAGGCACACGCCTGGAACCCTTGGAGACTTTGGTGGGCAGGGCATAGGGGAAAAGACATCACATGAGGCAACGACATCACATCCAGGTGAACATCTGGAAATCATGTCACTGTGTCAAATGACACTCTAAGACAGAGGTGTCAAACTCATTTGTCACAAGGGCCGGATCTGACATAAATGTCACTTTGTCGAGCTGGGCCATGTGTGCCATAAAATGCCAGGTACCGGAGATATAAACTAAATAAAGGACACAGGCAAACCCAATTAACAATATTATTTTTTACTCAAAATACAAACACAAGCAATTGACTCCTAGCAGTGAAAGCAATTGTTTTACTGGGGAGCCCACAAAAGTCCCAATAAATGTATTTAATCACATGCAAGATTAGTTTTTTCCTCAAGGGATACTCTAAAAAGGGGAGTACCTTACATTTCCATACATACCGGTTGCTTGGGGGCTAGGTAAGAGCCCTGAACGGGCCTGTTCCAACCCCTGGTTCTTATGCTTGACACCCCTGCTCTAAGAATTTTTCCAATCTCTATGGTAAATACCATAGAGACACCCCGTGATGGTGCCTAGAGTGTCACTCAACACGGTGCCATCTTCCCTGCCATTCCATTGAACATGGGCAGGGACAGGGAATATGGTGAAGAGTCTGCCCACTATAAGCGGGCAATTGGCATCCTTAGTTCTCATTGGTGGATTTACACCAGCAGGAGGGGCGCATACGGGAGGAGGCTTCCTTTCTTTAATAATGATGTGACAGTAGCACAGGGGTCCCCAGCCTTTTTGAGCCTGCGGGCACATTTGGAATTCTGACGCAGCATGGTGGGTGCAGCAACAAAGTGGCTGCCACAAAATGGCTGCTGCAGGAGGCGGGGCCAGCCACAAAATGGCTGCCACAGCTGAACTTCAGCCACACAGGGCAGATCCTTATGCTGTGGTGGCAGCTGCTGCCAAAGCAACATTTTAAAAAATCTGCACAGCCAATCAGAAGTCTTGCTGGGCAAAAGCCCTGTCTGGCTCCACCCACTTCCTAAAAACACTCAGTGGGCACCCGAAAAGGTGTCGGCAGGTGCCATGTCCCCCATGGGCACCAGATTGGGGACCCCTGCAGTAGCCTATCAATACACGCCGGCCGGCCGGCTGGTGCTTCATTTGCTATCAAGTCCTTCTCTCTCTCTCCCTCAGTTTGGTGCAGTGTTCCCTCTGAACTGATTTGGTGTGAGCTAGCTCACAGTTTCTTAGCCTCCGGCTCACATATTTTTGTCTTAGTTCAGGAAGGGATGGCTCCAGGGCCAACTAGTTTATGCAGTAGCCAAATCGCTCGCTCACAGTAGCCAAATCGCTCGCTCACAACTTTAAGACCAGTAGAATCACAAAGTAGAATTTTTGCTCACACAACTCCACAGCTTAGAGGGAGCATTGGTTTGGAGTAGTAGTTAGGGAAGTGGACTCTAATCCAGAAGAACCAGGTTTGATTCCCCCACTCCTCCACATGCAGCTGCTGGTGAGACCTTGGGTCAGTCACAGGTTCTCCCAGAGCTGTTCTCACAAGAGTGGTCCTCAAGAGAGCTTTCTCAGTCCTACCTACCTCACAGGGTGTCTGTTGTGGGGAGGGGAAGGGAAAGGAGATTATAAGATGCTCTGAGACTCCTTCAGGTAGAGAAGGGTGGGGTATAAATCCAATCTCTTCTCTTCTTCTTTTCTCTGTGGGAGACTGAGGTGTCTAATAGGTGATTTGCTCACAGGGCACCTTTTTCCCCAGCAGGAAAAGAGTTACAGTTAGCCCCTATGAACCTCTTTTTACTGTATGCCTGCACTCACCCAAAATTATGCAAAGTAAGCAAGTATGCAAGAGTTCCCTTACTATTGAACTCATCCTGCACAGTTTTAGGGTTTTTTTTGTAATGTATACTGGGTTTGCTGGTCACAGCGAGGGGCTCTGGAGGACAAAGAAGATCCCCCAGCTACTGGGAACCTAATGCACCACTAGTTTGGTGTAGTGGTTAGGAGTGTGGACTCTAATCTGGGGGAATTGAGTTTGATTCCCCACTGCTCCACATGCAGCTGCTGGCATGACCTTGGGTCAGTCACAGTTCTCTTGGCGTTGTTCTCTCACGAGCAGTTCTTTCAGAGCTCTCGCGACCCCACCCACCTCACAGGGTGTCTGTTGTGGGGAGGGGAAGGGAAAGGAGAGTATAAGCCGCTCTGAGACTCCGAGGGAAGGGAAGGGTATAAATCCACTCCTCTTCCTCCTCCTCCTCTGGCTTCTGTATTTCAACCGGCATGCCCCACAAGCTTTTGAGCCCATCTCAGTAGTAACGACTAGTCACCTGCTGGATTCTGCTTCTCTCAGTTCTTGTGGAACCTTCCTCCCTGTTCATTAATGTACGAAGCTGCTTCGTACTAAGTCAGATCCCTGTCAGTGGGTCTCCAAGATCTCAAGTCAAGGCCTTCCCCTTTACTAGAGATCTCTTTTTAACTGGGGGTTGGGGGGTGGGTCAAGCACTGAACCTTGAACCTCCAGCATGCCAAATTGGGTGCCTTCCACGAGCAAGAAGAGGGATGATCCCAGGAGATATCACTGGTGATCGGAAACGTAATTTTTTTGATTTTATTTATTTATTTATTTATTAAATTTATATCCCGCCCTCTTCAGGCCACAAGTGTATAATTGCATTTTCAGACCCATTTTCGAATACCTTGCAAGTTTTTTTTTTAAAAAAAGCCTAGCACAACAGACAGACTATCGTGCTAAGGAGTTTGGAGTCTCAGAGCGGCTTACAAACTCCTTTCCCTTCCCCTCCCCACAAGAGACACCCTGTGAGGTGGGTGGGGCTGAGAGAGCTCTGACAGAAACTGCTCTTTTCCAAGGACAGCTGTGCCAGAGCTTGTGACTGACCCAAGGTCACATCAGCAGGTGCAAGTGGAGGAGTGGGGAATCAAACCTGGTTCTCCCAGATTAGACTCCGCACACCTAACCACTATACCAAACTGGCTCTCTTTTTAACTGGGGGTGGGGGGTGGGTCAAGCACTGAACCTTGAACCTCCAGCATGCCAAATTGGGTGCCTTCCATGAGCAAGAAGAGGGATGATCCCAGGAGATATCACTGGTGATCGGAAACGTAATTTTTTTGATATTAGGATTTCTACCCAATGGAGTGGACCCCTTCAGGCCACAAGTGTATAATTGCATTTTCAGACCCGTTTTCGAATTTTAATACCTTGCAAGTTTAAAAAAACACACGAGTACAACAGACAGACTATCGTACTAAGGAATTTTTGTTGGGGCAGGTTAAGTCGCCTGGGCAGTTAATGGACCAAAAAGGC